CCCCCCCCCCTTAAAAGGGGGGCTATAGCCAGGTCTTGCAGAGGCCCAGTCCAGCTGATTCTCTTGTCCCAGGTTCGCCCTCGATTCGTGGATCTCCGCTGTCGTCGAACAGCCCGAAGGCTTCCGAACGGTCGGGCCGTGTTGGACAGGCTTCGTGGTAGTTGCACGATCTTGCAGGTGCGGGCACATCGGTCCACAGTGTCGTCGGAATTCCGGCAGCAGCTGCAGGACCTGATGCAGCCTCCATGTGCGACTGCAAGCATTTTTTCACTGCAAAACAACAAAGTGCAGGACCTGATGGGGCAGATCCGGACCACCACGCCGCACTTTGTGCCCTCAGAATTGCATGGTCTGTGGAGGCTGTAGCCACTGTAGCCCTCGACGAAGCGATTCTGCGTCAACACCCCTCTCGATTTTTTCGAGGTACGCTGCATCAAGCCCAACGCAGAGTGCCAGCTTCAGTGCTCGCGTTTTCAGAGCAGCCTGTGTCTTAGACAGCGGGTCACCCAGGAATCGGGCGTTTGTTGACGCTGCAGTTTCTGACCCCCGTCCTCTTTTCAACAGGCCTGTCACGGCCATGAAGCCTGGATCCTTCTCTGAGCGAAAGTTCATACAGGAGCTCCGTTGCAGAGCAGCTCAGCTACCAGGGTGCCACAGCCCTATACAAGGATCTTATGCGCACATGCACTCTTCACGCATTGAGCAGTTCTGCGAGGTCCTTGAGGCGATACGCGTAGCCAGAGCAGGCTATCCAGCCTTGACCTCAGCCTCTGCCTTCCCGTTTTGCCCGCTCGGAGCGTCTCGAAAGTCCTACTAAATCCTGCTATCTGCAAGTCTCTTTTTGCTAAGTGTCGGCCTCCAAGTTGCATTTGCTGCTAGCCCGAGAAGCCTGGCATTATACTGCGCTCGGACTCATCGAGCAAGACAGATGTTATCACCCGGCTGGCCACGCTTTCAGACGCTGCATCAGTTCTGGAGACTCACAGGCCTGAGTGTCGCCTGGAAGCTTCGGATTTACAACGCGGTGTTCGTACCAATGCTGCCACATGGTATGGAGACTGCAGCGCTGACCACAGCAGACTTGCACAGGCTGGAGGCCTTCCACTCTTTGTCACTCCGAAGATCCAACAGATCAAACCCACCTTCTATACCAAGCTGCTCATAGACAACCCCAACGCACAGACCATACGCAGTGAAGGCGTCCGAGCTCTCGCCGACCAAACCCCACTCACACACCGCATCCACAGGGCACAGTAAAAGTTGTTGGGCCACGTTTCAAGGGCAACCCCGAGCAACCTGGCAAGGAACTGCGTTTTTACGAAGGCGTTTGTTTGCAAGGGGTGGATGTTTCTTTTTGCAAGATGTCCAGAAGTGCCAAATGTCTTTCGTGGCTCGAAGCAAGTCTCCCAGATCCGCCAAAAAGTTTTCTTGAGTGGGCAGACCATGCATGCTGTTGCCTGTTGCCGTGTTCGGACCATGGCCTACCCGCAACGTCTTCCTCTGCGGTAAGAAGCAAACATCAGGAATCCACTTGGCGAGTCTTTGATGTCCTTGTCTTGGCTCCTTGCACACTGGTATGTTGAGTCATCGATGGGCCTCAGAGAATGTAGCTGTGTGAACGGTGTGATGGCTTCGGATACTGCAAAGGGGCTTTGCGGGGCCCAGGTACGCTACTATCACTTTGACTTCTTGGCTGCTTTCCGCTGCATTGCATGCAAAGACGTTCAACTGGAGATGGAGGCTCGCCCTCGTCGTTTAGAGGATTTCGCGTTGTTGCGTTTGTTCAGGCTGCGATGCGGACATTCCAAGAAGGCTGTGCCGACAGCTTCTTGGTCCGAGCGCCGCAGGATGCCACCATAACTGGCTCCAGATACTGGTGCCACAAAGGTCGAAAGCATCCGGCGGCTGCTCGAGTCTGAGCCCTTGCGCTCAGCCTGTGAAAATGCCAGGGCCTGACAAAGAATATGGGCCCCGGGCTGCATTCCTTGAAGCCTGTAACCGTGCTCAGGCCGTGGCGGTGGGGAGGACTCGTGTCTTTCTGAAGCAGTCGGCTGCCGGGCGCTTGCGGGTGGCCCAGGCACTCGCTCGGGCGGCGGCCTGCACCCGGCTGCAGGCGCGGTACCGCGGAAACTCCGCCCGACAGCAGGCCGCCGTCCGGCGCAGGGCGGTGAAGGCACTCCAAGCGGCCTACCGGGGCTTTCGACTTCGGCGCCGTCTCAAGGAGGAGAGGAGAGCTCGAGCTGCTTCTTTGATCGTGGCGGGCTTGTCGACTCTTGTGGCACGGCGCCGACTGGGCTGCGTGAGATATGTCTGTACCGCACTACAAAGTTTGGTGCGAATGCGGGCCTGCAGGAACGAATTTGCGAGGTTGCGGCAGGCGACATGCAGGATTCAGGCCTGGTGGCGCTCTTGGCTGAGGCGCCGGAGGATGAGGGAGCTCCCGAAGCATCTGCGGAACATCCAGCGATGCTGGCGTGGGGCAGTTGGCCGCCGGCAGGCGGCCGACTTTCGGCTTGGGTTGTTCCGCTTGAAACGCGCCTTGCGTCGGCTGCTTCGCCTCCGCTGGGCGGCTCTGAAACATCGCAAGTGGCGGCAGGGCGTCATGGCGAATTACCGAGGAGCTTCGGCACAAGCGCAGCCTCTGGCAAAGGCAGAGTTGCTGCAGAAGCTCCTTCAGCTGGAGGCGGAGCACGCCTTGCTTGAGCGCCAAGCTGCGATCCTCCGACAAGACCATTCCGACTTGAAAACAAGCCTTGTTGAGGCGAAGTCCAGCTCCTTTTTGCGGGTGTTCGGACTGGTGTGATGTGGCTGTGCTTCGTGCTGTGCTACCTATTAGTACAAGTATCATGGTCAGGCGCCACAACAGTTTCACCAATCGTTTTAACCAGCGGGTAGGTTCCCCACGATATGCCTCCGACCTGGGACGTTGGAGCGCGCCTGTTTGGGATGCGTCGCAACAGATATTCCAAAAAGGAGAGGGTTGGCACGGAACCCCCTCTGTCTTCGAGCACAGCAGCTGTACTCACATTGTGTTCTCAAGTCCGGCGCCCGGAGCTCCGTGGCCCAAAGTGACTCGAGGGCGAGCCCGAAGAGGCGCTTTGTGCAGCCAGATGGAGCCGGTTAGGGACTTACATGTTGAGACTCTGATGCCTCAGCTTCTGCATAGACGCAAGCCGCTCGATGTCGTGCAGGCCAGGTGACAGCCATCGCCCCCCTGCAGTTCATGCAGGCAACATAGCTTGCTTCTTGTAGGTTCCTAGGCTGCTAGTAGTAGCATCGTGGTGAATAGACGATGATGCTGATGAGCTGATGTCGCTGCATCCTGCTGTCGGGCAAGGTGGAGCATATTCAGCTTGATGCATTCTTGCGGAAGCTGTCGGACTCGAGCGAGCGTGCTGCGCTCGTGTGTGCATGTCCATTTTGCAGCGTTTGAAGCATGCTCGACGTACACAATGCTCGCAGTGTGCCTCTGAGGATCTGACGATGCAGCGTCGCAGCAGCGGACAGCCTTTCTTCGCGTGTATCCTGCTGCATCATGTATTGGCATAATATCGCCGTGTGCCCTTGGGCAGCAATGTATGAAGCAGGACATCGCGTGAACTCGCTTATTCGAAATCGGCACCTCAGCAACTTGCTCAAAACATATCCCAGTACCTCCAGTCGTGCTTCTGCCCTCTTCCTGCTCATGGCTCAGGTTGCGATCCGTGAAACTACGGTAGGAAGCCCAGTGCGGCCCGGCCCGGCATTTTCCCAGAGGATTTCAGAGGATTTGCCGAGAGCTGAGTTTGGGTTTGCCCCTAGGAGCGACCCAAAGCTCGAGGAGCTGAGGCGGAACCTCCGCCAGAGGCCAAGAGCAAAAGAGACAAACCGCGAAACGCGTCGGTCCTCTTTTCTCTTTGTCGCGGCTCTGTTCCGAGGTTCGAAAGCTGCTCGCAATTCAGTTTTGCAAGACCCGAAATGCAGGGAGCTCAGAGAAGTCTTATTGAGAAATGCTACGATCAGTCGAAATGCCACATCAAGGCAGACTGATGCTTGGTCTGCCCCCACCGCTCCAGACCGAGTCCGCGATATCTGAGACTGGATGTGTACTGTCGTGAGTTTTCGTGGTTCCAAGACGTTGCTTCCAGGTCTCGTCCGAAGAATGTGAGAAGCGTTCATACCCTGCCAACCATGGCCCAGCACGTATCCCAGATGTTGGGGCGTGGAGACTCTGTTGCAGTTCTGCGCCTTTAATCCACAGGGCGGCAAAGCTGCGGGAATGCCCGGCAAGTTTGCTCTGACCATGCGTAAACGGCTGGTTCTTCGAGCTGTGACAGGCCGGAGCCCTTCAGAGAGCCCAGTCGAGGACCTGTGAGCTTTGCATTTTCTGACTTCGCAACGTCTCAAAGCTCGGATTAGAGCATGCAGCATACGAGTACAAGTGGAGGAAGAAGCCGGAGAAAGAGCCCAAGCCTTCGACCGGAAACGGGTCCAGTTCCCAGTCCGGTTCACTTACACTTGGCCTCTAAGACAGTTTGATGAGACCTGTGCTGAGGCGAAAGAAGGTCAGAAAGAGGGTCGGCCCCTGAATATCAAGTCACGACATGAGCAGGACAAGCCATGTAGCAGTTCAGAGACCTTTCAGCTTTCTCATGGCGGCTGAGACCGTGACGATGCATTTCCAGGTGCCCCCTTTGAGGGGTTGTTTCGGGATGCCACGGCATAGCCTGAAGTTCAAGCCCCCAGCCTGAGAGGGCCAAGATGATGCTGACAAGCTTCCGGCTGCAAGCTGGGAGAAGGCGGGTCCACGTTTGTTTAGCTCAGCCCCGAAGGCTCTTTCGGCTGCGCCAATTCGAGCGGCTCATAAGTTGAGAGTCGAGTCTTTGGATACAAGCGGAGAGTGTCCGGTGACGTAGTGCAAATCCAGGTTGGTTCTCTGTGTGCCAGCGTGCAAGAGGCACTGGACAGGTCAGCGGTCATCGAACTGCACTTGTCATTGTTCTGTCAGTGCAGCTGGCTTACCAGGTTCTATTCGCCCAGCGGTGTGTTACCAGATCACGAAGTCAGGAGGCGCATCGGTTGTGAGAATCAATCGCTGGGCACCGCACTGAATTTAAATCTTGGCGAGCCCATAAATTCCATCACACTCCGACGGCTTGAGTCATTGAGACTGTTGAGCCAGTTGCAGAATTCTCGAAGATGGAAGTTTTGCATTGCCGTGAGATCAAATCCAGCAAGGTCTGGTTAGTCCAGTCTGCTGTCTCATCACCTTGAAGCTGGTGAAGCCCCAAGCCGAGAATGTCGTCTCGAGGTCGAGGGAAGCAACAACGTCGGCTGAGTCGCGTCCTGAAGCACAACAGCAAGCTCAGAAACAGCTCGTTCAAAAGTCGAGGAATCAACCGAGGAAATGAGATCCGATTCGCACGGCAGATGCAGCACGGAGGCAAGGAGGCAAAGGCCAGAGCGAAACGAGCCGAAGTCGCCGCCGCCATGACGGCAAGAGCAGAGTGAGAAGCAGCGCAAGGAGGCAACACCCGCCGCAGTCTCGACGCATATGCGCAAGGCTTCATCAGAAGCGATTCTTCTGAACGAGGCAAGTCACATCTCTGAGCATCCGGTCCAGAGCCAAGTACTTAGTTGACCCGTTCCGTTCGAAGCAGCACAAGATGGCCAAGAATCTAGATCGTCACGACCTTTGGAGCTTGCGGTTGTCTACAGATTTGGTTTTGGGTGAGGGCCCTTGCTCCTGGTATATCAGGGATCTAAGGATCACCGGGCTTGGTGCTACAGACGGCAGCCGCTATCATTCGGCAACATGGCCACAGCACACATCTGCACAACTGAAGACAGCAGCATTGCATAAGACTGTTCACGTTCACCGCAGGCTTTCTTTCGGGTCTCGTTGTTGACACACAAAGGCATCCAAAAGTTTGTAGGAGGGTAAACACAGGTTTCAGAATTTGTTAAGGTTTCTTGCGCTGAGGAACGGGCTTGGCCATCCATCGGTCAGCAGAGGCTTAGGTTTTATGACAATACATGCGAACTATTCTCTGTCAAGCTTGATTGCATAGCTGCGCTACCAGTTCGCAACACAGCATAGGAGAAGTTCTGCATCATGCTCGCACTTGCAACACACAGCTCCCCTTGTGTCCCGTAGCTTTCGTCCGCTCTGCTTTCAAGTGACGCCGCTCGCTGTGGTCAGGATGCGGATCTGTTTCCAGAGGTTCTCTTCCGAGGACAACGACCTTTACCGTGGACAAGTGCACGAGGCCGGCAGCGAGCGAAGCTGTCCCTTGCGCCCTGCCTGGCAAGCCAGGTGCTGACCCACCTTTGCTTTGTTCCTGTCTCCGAGGATAAGGCCCAAATGATCCAGTCACATGCGTTGGTGCCTGTGACAACGGTTGACCGAGGCCACAGCCATTGCCAAGGATACCAATGAGCCAAGACCTTAGAAAAAAGGGCATTTGCATAGAAAGGTTGTCAGTTTCGAGTGCCTTTCTTTCGCCGAGCTTCGGTAGTTATAGGTTCTCGACGTTGGACTTCCAAGATTTCATTGACTTCCTGGAGCGCTACATGCAGTACGAGCGGGAGGTGCGACTGCAAGGGCCGAAAGAAATGCCTGTGAAGCCAGAGATCCTCATGTGGATTTCCTCTTCCGTTGGCTTGCGCATGTTTGTGTGAAGATGTTTTATGTTGTTGAAAGGAGCTGCATCTGCCTTCTACACACTTGTTTTCCACCTTTGAAGAGCACATGCGCGGGTGATCGTAGTTGTAGCCATGCCAGCACTTCTGCTGTCGCGGTTCTGTAGGTTTCCCCACCTTGCAGCAAGAACCCGCTTATTGGCGTATTGTTGAAGGAAGGATCTTGTCACCCTGGCGTCATCCCGTTTTCTCTGCCTCACATGTCCCAGGTTGTGCGTGTGAAGTTGGAGGAGTGGACAGCGTCGCTCAGAAGACATGATGAGTTTCTGAGTCCTGAATCGGTACTGCTGTTTGGCCGGCTGAGGCGGGAGAAGGACGAGGATGATTCCGATCCTGATCCCGTTGCAGTAATCCTGCCCTGGAATTGCGAAAACTGCCTCCGGGTCCGTGCTTTGCATGGTGACGTCCTCAAGCCCATGACAGGAAGTACGCGGCTTCCTGAAGTCCTTGGGCATCGTTTGTCTGAAGGCCAAATTCTCTGTCTAAGTCGCGGCTTGCCCTGTCGGTTTTGACTCGAGGATGCGGCCGAAGAGATCATTACACTGGGCGGCATGAATGGTCGCAGCTGCGCCCGCCCAGAGGCACGCCGACAACGCGGCGCTGCGGTGCAACCTTTGGCGCACGGCATTGTGTGTTGAGGAGCTCTTGCGGTGCCTCGCAGCATATCGAGCCCGCGAAGGCTTCACGAAAGCCGCCGCTTGAAGGGAAAGCTCTATGAGTGCTCTGGCTTGCTCTGGCTTTGTGTGGGAGTGCTGAGGAGATCGATCGGATCCAGGAGGTTTTCGTCAGCTTGGAGGCATTGGAGTGTCCCTCCTCACACGTTTGACATGTCTTCAGAGCGTTCTCACGATGGTTTGGCGGGACGTTTGCAACGCTGCATGATGCTAACTCTGCCAAAGCTGAGCTGCACACGGAAAGTCCACGGATGCACAGCAGAAGCGATGCCCTGCCCTGCGCATTGGCTGTGAATGTTTTCTTCTCAGGCGGAGCCACAGCCGAAGACTGCGGCTGACATGCGGTCGGAAAGGCCCGGACCATCCAAAACCTTGGGTGCATTCTTATCATCTTCGTGCTTCGAAGGCACATCAAAGCCGGCCAACTTTGCATAGGTCTTCTAAAGATCGCTGGGCTGTATTGTGCCTGACTTTGTATGTGGCGTGCGCGGTCCCGACATGTTGGAACTCCGCGCCATACTGTCACTGAGGTGCTGAACATCTCAGGGAGCTCCTGGACAGGATGGAAGAAACCATTGAGGTCCCTTGTGGGCGGGCCTCCAAACCCTTAATGCCTTAATTAATCCCGTAAACCCTGAACCTTAAACCTTGAACCCTGAGCTGCCAGGGCGAAAAGATCACGCCCTTTTGCTTCTACGAGCCTCGCCCTCGGGTTCTCGAAGCAAAGTCTCCGTACCCTGGTGTGCGAGAGGTTCCTTGTATGCGCCCGTCGCCTTCGAGTGTCCCGGCGTCTCCGAGCCCTATGTGTCCCGTGCCCTTTTTCCGTCGACAGACCGATAGATCGGATAGATAGACGATGATAGATGCATAGTCAGACAGATAGAGTCATACATGCCGTCATTTCTCGCAATCTCCTGTCCCATTCGTGGACATGCTGGCGGGCAAGTCCTTTGAAGCGGGGGCCGAGGATGCGATGCTGATGGCGGCTTCTGAGGAGTTCGACAACGTGGACGCCGACGAGGATGGCATCGTCGAAGCGGAGGAGCTCCGCGAGTTCTGCAGCCGGGCTTGTTGAGGACTCCCGTTTTTCTGAGAAGGCTCAGCAAGCAGCAATTATCATAGATAATAAGTGTGCTACAAGGTTACCGAGACAGGTATCATCAGGTTGCTACATGGGTAGTAGTATAGTCTAAGTTCTGGCAAGTTGCTAGCTTTTCTCTCCTGAAGCGCTTCTGAGGCAAGCCTCTGGGCTTCGCTTTGTCGGGGGAGGAGTGGGACGAGCTGGTCGAGGAGCAGAGTTTGGGGGATGAGGACGTGGAGTTCCAGGATGCCTGGAACTTCCTCCAGGCGGTGCAGGCAAGGAACGGCTTCACCCTGGACGAGCAGCAGGAGCTCTCGGAAGCCTTTGACCGCTTCTCCGACAAGTCAGGCGCCGCCCCCGAAACTCCCTTTTCAGAAAGCCCGAATCCCAAGGGAAGCCTTCTTCGAGATTTCAAGAGACCTGGAGAGGTGAACTTGAGAACCTCAAGGTCAAGGATCTGCTTACTTACCTTGGCTTCGAGACAGGCGCCCGGGAAACAGCAGCGAATTCGACACCATGTGTTTCAAGGGATCACGATCCAAAAGAATTGAGCCCTGAAATATGAAGGTGTAGATGATGTCCAAGACATGGTCTGTCGAGTGGACTTCAATGGCAGCAAGACTATGGACCGACATGAGTTCTTGCGGCTGATGCGACTCCAGAGGGAAATCACATTGGCATCCTACACAGCCACCTACGCGCGAAACCGTCTCTTTGCCCGGGGCGGGGCGCCACCAGAGGAAGTCGAGCGCGTTCTGGTTGCAACCAAGCTGCATCCCAATGTGCACATTCTGGACCAAGCTCTGAGCCTGGTTGAAGAATCTGGAGAATATGACCGCGAGTCCACTCAGTCGCTGCAGTTTGAAGGCTTCTTGAAAGTGGCCGACTATTGTCGCAAGACGATACCAATCTACAACAGGAGGCATGCCAACTTCCAGCTTGACCAGATCGAGGATCTTCGCAAGTCTTTCGAATCGCAAGATGTGGAGAAGAAGGGTCATATATCCATTGGATCTTTCTTGTCGCTCTTGGCCGACACGAGCTTAGCTGTGAACACCGTGGCTGGTCGAGCCCGGATGCCTCGGACTTACGCCAGGCGAAATAGCGCTGAATGGCTTGGAGCGATGAAGCAGCATGTCTCCAAGGTATGAGCAGTTGGAGAGATCTCGTGAGGTGGCTGCTGTGATTTCAAGCGCATCGCACCAGGGGAGCACGTAAACTGCAGCATGCAAGGCCGCCTTAGATGCCGGCGTCAGCAAGGAGGAGGCGAGCTCGCTCTGTAGAGCCTTTCTGCCTCGCGGGAAGGGCTCTAAGTCAGGTCGGCAACCCCAACACCCCGCGGGTGCGCTTCCTCCCTATGGACGCTGCCTCTGACATGCTGTGTTCTGGTGATGATTCCACAGTAGCATCGGAAGTTGCTGCGCCACTGGCGTGGCATGCATTGCCGAGGTCCATTTCGTCCGCGAGACCGTGAAAATTCATGACGATGCGGTGCCTGTCTTATCGAAGCTTGCGTTTGTGTAGCTTGCAGATGGGTGGAGATGTATTTCGCTACGGCAGAAGCTTGCAGAGGTTTTCGAGCGGGAGGATGCGGCCTTGAAGGCTCCCTCGGCTCGCACCACCGTTTTTTTTCATCGTGCTCCGCCTGGAGGAAGTGACCTTCTCCAAGGAAGAGGCCGATGCTTTCAGACTCCATGTGACTCTCGTGCCTTTGGGTAGAAATCCGAAATCCTACGTCCGAAACGCCTCTTAGGCCAGAGCCCGAGAAGCTCCCCACCCAAAGCACCGGCAGGTGCAACAGTTCCGCGACCTCTTCGCGGCTTTGGTGACACAACACGAGGCCGAGGTCTGGGCACTTCTTTTTGGCTTCTTTTTTCGGGGCTTCAGAGGGTCTCCGTTTATTTTCGCAGGACCGCGTCTCCATAGCTTTGTGTGCGGTTTGTATGTATTTCATTTTGTCATATGTATATGTACATATATATATATACACACACATAATCATATATATATATATATGTATATATATATATATATATATTCTTACAGATATTGTGTATACGTACATGTGAGACGTGCAAGTTTTTCGCACGAGCGTTTGCAGGAGTCATCAAAGCCGGTGTCGCCAGAGCGGCCTACTGCTGGGCGACGTATGTCGGCGTTCTGACTGCACCTTCAGCGATCCCGTGCGTCGACTGTGGGATCTGAAAGGGCAATCTCTTTTCCTGATTGTGGGCCGGCATCCCGCCCCGATCAAGGCCGTCCAGGCTGCACAAGTCTTGGCAGAGGCTGGGTGGAAGCTTCCGAACCTAGTGGGCCACATGAGGCTTGCTTCACCCCTGAGGCAGAAGATGCTTTGCGCGAGCAGAGGTTAAGGTGTCGGCATCAAGTTGCGCAAGAAAGCCACGGAAGCGCCAACAGCTAAGGGAATTGACTTTGGGCTCCGTGATCAAGAGACTGACAAAAGTTGATCGTGCCGCTTTCTCAGTCGATAAGGGCACAAGGTTATCTGGACGTCTCGCTAGGCTCGTTCATTAGCCAGGTTCCGGCATCCGACATCATCAAGATGGTGACGAAGATGGGAATCCAGGTTGGCCGGCAAAGGGCTCTGCTTGTATCCTACAAATGTTGGTTGGCAGAGGGTTTGCTTTGGCGAGAACTGCAGCAAATGCTGTCCTTAAAGGTAAAGTTCTTATCACATAAATAAATATATATTTTTTTGGTGCCCACTTCATGTATCTACCGTTTGTCTCTTCCTCTGCTTCAAGTCACTTTGCTGCACTATGACTACAAGCAGCGTGGAGCACTTTCAGTTCCTGGCTGGTTTCGTTTCTTGTGTTGTCCCTACTGTTGAAACATGGCAATCATAGGAAACATTGGTTTTTTACAAATGATTAGGAGAAGAATATGGAAATCATTGGTTTTTACCACTGATTTCAATGATTTCTGGACAATCTCCCTGGCGAGCGCCGGCAGATAGATTGAAAATCATGGAAATCACAGAAATCGTTGGTTTTTACTAATGATTAGGAGAAGAAATATGGAATTCATTGGTTCTTACCAATGTTTTTGACGTCCAGCATTCATGAATCATTGGATTTACCAAAGTTTTTGAGGTCCAGCATTCACGAAACATTGGTTTTACCAATGCTTTTGACGTCAAGCATTCACGAAACATTGGTTTTACCAATGTTTGTGACGCCCAGCACGCACGAAACATTGGTTTTACAAATGATTGACGTCCAGCATTCACTAAACATTGGTTTTACCAATGCGTTTGACGTCCAGTTAATGGCTCGCAGCATTTCCTAGGATTCATAATGCTATGCCAAGAAGAATCGCATCCTTTCCAGAGCGTGGTTTTATTGAATTAAAAACAAATGAAAGCGTATGAACGAACGAAGAGAAGAGAAGCGTGCTTTCTTCATATTAAATTTGGCCTTTTATGAACGAAATGGGAAAAAGAACTGATTTTAATCTAACGAAACACGCGTGCGTTCATTTCTTTCACTACTTTGTTTTTTGTTTAGAAGTAGATCTTTGGCTGCTATAACTTGACTGGTGGTTTCTCTTTTTAGTTGGACATTAAACACCGGGTCTCGTTCCCCTCTGCGTTCCTTTGCCTGCTTTGCTCTAATTTAATTCATAAAAGAGGTAGGGAGCGCACGCTCTTTTTCCACTTAATGAAATCAGATCAAAGGCAAAGTGAACGAAAAAGAGGAACGTGAGGAATGTGCTGCGTTTCTTCTTTTGTTTTACTTCAACCGTGCTTCCATCGCATTTCTTCGCTTTCATTGCGTTTAATTAAGAACAAAAGACGCAGCATTGATTCCACTAGTTCATCGATTGCCTTCAACAGTCACCTGGCATAATAAGATCTAGGGGTTCGAGCCTGTGGTTTTTTCATCTAGTTAAATTAACACAATGAAGGGAGAGGAATGAGCGAAAGCGTGGAAAATTCAATTAGAAAAAGAAGTACGAAACGAACCAGGAACCCGTTGGTCAATTTGAATTAAATGAAAAGTGAAAAGCATGCTTTCATTATCTTTTCGCCCTTTCATTTATTAAAAAAGGCAACGGGAACGGAGATGTCGTTAGAATATAGGAGGGTTTGTTGGTCAAGAAATCACTATATCTTCTGGTATAATCCGAATGGTTGGAAATGAAAGGAACGAAACCAAACTGCGAATTAAATATAACGAAACGAAAAAATGATTTAATTCGTGCTTTGCTTTCGTTCCCTCTTTTCACCTGTTTTGTGTTTCTTTTGTTTAGTTCATTTGGTTTAATTCGTGCCTTCATTCACTTCTTTCAT